TAGAACCAGTAAAGGAGAGAGAAGTAATAGTAAGAGAATAAGGGTGAGAAACAGGAGGGTATGGTTATCTTTGCAGCCCAGGGAAAAGAGAATGTCCATAAAGACAGGTTGGCAAACTGTCAAATGGCACAGAGGGATCAAGGAGGATGAAGATTAAATAAGAACCAATGAATATGATAATTAGGAAGTCTTTGATGATGATTGAGAGAGAAATTTCAGTAGAGTTTTGGGAATGAAGCCAGACTGTGGGCCAAGTGGTCGTTGAAGAAGTGAAAGAATTAGATAAAGACTTCTCAAAAAACTTGGTCATGAAGAGAAGAAAAAGAGGTGTAATGGAAAGTAGATGGAATAAAAGAATATGTTTTTTAATGGGTTGTGTAGATCCAGGTATGTTCATAGATGGTTGGAATGGAGCCAGAGGAGCAACCCAAGGCTATCTCTGGGACCTCCAGTGTCTTCACACTGAATAAATCACACCCATGTTATGTTTTGTGTATGCTCTGGGGCAGTCCAACTCATTGCTTAAACTTGGGCCAGGATCTTCTTATGCAAATGCTCTAGGTCTGAACTTGGGGTGATAGCAATAGCACCTCAGCCTTAGGAGAAAAAGCAAATTTCCCTCCCTCTACTTGGACACAGAGTATGCCTCTCATGAGAATCCAGAGATCTTGAAGAACCTCCCTCCCTCCCCAGCAACCACATCTTTTCTGAATGGAACTTCCCAAATGGATAAGAAAAGCACTTTCTGGGGATGCCAGAGCTGGCCAACAAATCCTTTATGGAGGAAGACAGAAAACAGAAGGTGGTGTTGATGACTTTCAAAAGCAACTAGCTTTCTCTTCAGGTATTTATAGCAGGATTTCTCCCTGACTGAACAGGGTCAAGCTGTCAGGAATAATCTCGTCTTCTGCTCAAAAGCATATATTAGGAGCCCCTGACATCTAGACAACAAGTGAGAATCCGGTTTCTCAGGGACGATCCAGCGAAACTGCTCTCTCTATTCCTCACATCTCTGTGACTTTGCCCTGGTTGTCTCCCATCCCCAACATTCTTTCTCTCCTCACCCTTACCTCATAGAATGCCTTTTCTTCCTTCAAGATTCAGCACACATACCACCTTCTACACCAAGGGTTCTTGACCTTTTTTGTGTTATGGACTCATTTGTCAGTCTGGTGAGGCTAGCAGACCCCCCCCCCGGAATGTTTTCAAATAATTGAAGAAAATGCTAAATTTCAGTTAGAGGTTAGTGAAAATAAAGATTACTGTTTTTTACCCATTTAAGTTCATAAACCACACTCCCCAAGACCCCAAAACAATCCAAGGACTCTGGGTGCCCTTAGACTTCAATCACATACCTCTGTCCTACACCAAGTCTTTCATGATCCCTCTAACTTCTTATGCCCTTCCTCTTTGACTACCAAGTGTAACTATCTCGTATTCATACTCCTTGTGTTTATTCTGCACATCCATCCACACACATCCACATATATGTATACATGTGAATGTATACACACATATGCATGCTTATTGGATTATAAACTCTTTGAGAGTAGGGATTATTTCATTTTCTGTATTGGTATCCTCAGGACCCATCACTTAATGGGTTAAAAAATGCTTGCTGATTGTCAGTTGACAGTGAAAGGAAATAAATACTTCTGACAAAGCAGAATGTACTGATTGCTGGATTCTGACATACAGTCCCTCTGGTTTGGCTGGTCATTCCTATGAGGCATGATCTTTCTGAGCCTAGAGGCTCATTAAGCAACTTGACAGTGATGACAATGGCTTCTCTTAGTTTGGTTATTCTCCTCCCCATGCCCCAAACTCATTAATGCAGTGATAAATAGAGTGCATTAATGTAAAGGATTCCAAGTGCGATTAAGTATGTTATTGGATTTGTGATGGCCAAGTGTGAAGTAGGAAACTCTACTGTTTTCAGTGGAAACTCTCATTAGCTATTTAATGATATTGATAGAGGGTTCATCAGTTTCACATTACTGTCTTAATCTTTGCCATGATGGCTAAGTTTTTAAAATGATCTAAACTAGATGTGAGGAATATAACTTGACTGACTTTCAAAATTTTGCAACTATGACATAATTTGGTTTTATCAAGGAGTCAACTCTTATGTATTTTTATTATGCATTTAACATTGGAATAATAAGATTATGGAGGATCAAATAGCTCTGTGTGTGTGTGTAGGTGGGAGTGTCTTGTTTGACCTTTTTGTTTTAATTCCATATTGTCCAGTATGACTAGTATCCAAGTATGGAGTTGTTGAATTGAATTGAATGAAATCTAGCACTTAGTAAACACTGACCCGCTGATAAATAAACCTATGCTAGGTGTACTAAATGAAAAATCACCAAATGAGATACCAAAGTTGGATAAGCCATACCTACCCTCATGAAGCTTACAGCTTAATAGGGGTAAATGGCACATATGTAGAGAACCAGGTTTTAGGAGGTAGAATTGTGATTTCACTGGAATGAGGAATTCCTTGGCAAGGAAACTCCCATTACCAATGCAGGTCAACACCTATGTAACTTACAGTTTAACAGTTGCTTAAAATATTGAAAGATAAAATGATTTGCTCAGTGTGTCAGAGACGACTTGAACTCAGGTCTTTTTAGCTTGGAGATCATCTCTCTATCAACTATACCACACTATCTCTCCATAGATGGCTCTTCATAAATAACACAGAAGCTCATAAGAAAACTATAAACTCAGTGGAGTTAGATGGGAAATTTCTTCTCAACAGTGGGCATTAGGAAGGGCTCCATGGAAGCTAGGCATTTGAAGTGGGCATTAAAAGACAGGCAGGACTTTGAGAGGTGAAGAAGAGAAAGGAGGACAGTTCAGGCATAGGATACAATATGATCAAAAGCCCTTAAGTTGGAAAGTGCAGGGTGTATTTGGGGAGAAGAGGAGGAGGAGAAGAAGGGGGAGGAGGAAGAGGAGAGGAGAAGGAGGAAAGCAAATGGGTCCAGTTTGGCTGAAGCACAGAGCAGGTAGAGGAGAATAATAAGAAATAAACTGGAAAAGAGAGAGGTGGAGGACCAGGAATGCCAGGCAAATAAATTTGATAGGAAGATTGGGAGCCACTGAAGATTTTTGAGCCAAGGAATGACATGACTAGATCTATGTATAAGGAAGACTACTCTGGTAGTTTTATAAAGGATGAATTGGAAGGATGAAAAAAATAGAGATGGGAAAACCTGTTAGGAGGCCACTGCAGCAGTCCAGATAGGTAATGAGAAGAGTAGTAGAGATGGGAATAGGGAGAGAGGGGAGGATGGACTCTAGAATCAATATTTTGGGACCAGGGGCAAGTAGTACGAAATACACCTTCAGATCAACCCATTTAAGACAAATTCAGTTGGAAGGCATAAGAGAGATACCCCAGGACATCATCCAATGGAGGGCAGACAGAAAAGAGCACTGAATTTGGAGCCAGAGGGCCTGGTTCAAATCCTGGCACTGCCACTTCTTACCATGGGTCCTTAGACAAGGCAGTTTCCTAATTTGGCCTTAGTTACTTGTCTGTAAAAGCACTGGAATAGATAATCTCTGAGATCCTGTGATCTCATGGCCATGATTGGGGAGGGGCAGTGTTGGGTTAGAGGCCAGGGAGCAACTTAACAGGGGTATGGTCACCTGGAGAGGATGTTCCTCCCTGGAAACCAAGCTACAGGGTAGCTTCCTATTTTATCTAATTATTCTAATTAGACGCTAAGTTCAATTGTTTTTAGGTTGCTAGTAAAAATGAGTGCCCTGGGGCCAAGGCCTGGGAGCTCCATTCTCATTATATTTCTCATTGCACAGGTAGAATTGAAAAAACTTGTAAATGATTGAATGTAGTATCTGGAGAAGAAGGAAGAGTGGCCTGGAACCCAAAGTTTTGAACTTGGGAGACTGGATGAATGACTCTTCCTTTGACAGCGGCCAGAAAGGTGAGCACATTTAAGGGGAAAAATAATGAACTCAGCCCAAATTAGTCACAAAACAATTCAGATCTTGGGGATGGACAGGTCTCTTCAGAATTTATATTCAAAATATTTGAATGAACATGCATTGTTATGAGGATGGATATAGAACCAGCCTGCAGCAAAATCCTACCTCTGTAGAGTGAGTCTGAATCAATTTCTCTCCGACTGCCCATAAAAAGTGGTTTGCTGTGGCACTTAGAAAAGCTACTATTTTTGTTCTTCGAAACTCTTTAAAAAGATATCTTGGTCACATGGTCTCCTGTGTCCAAATTACTAGTTGAGAGCAAGCAAGTCTGTGGCCAGACCAGAAAGAGAAATGTACAGACTTTGCAATTTAGCTTTCTTCCTCCTGCCTTACATTTCTCCTGACCACTTTGGCTAAAAATATATCATATGAATGTTTTTATACCTGTGTTTATGAAAAATTAATTTAGATCCTTTATAAAACAGTAATAATAACAAAATAGTAGCACATTTGTATAGGACTTTAAGGTTTGAAAGCAATTTACATACATCATCTCACTTGATCCTGACAACAAACCTGTAAAGTAGGTGCTATTTATTATTCCTACTTTACAGAAGAGGAAATTGAGGCTGAACAAAGTTAAGTGTCATCCCCAGGTTCATCCAACTAGTATCTAACTAGTAAATTTCTGAGAGGAGATTTGAACTCAGCCCTTCCTTGTTCCAAGTCCACTGAGCTGTTGAATAGAGGGCTGGACTTGGCATCAGAAGATCTGAGTTCAAATACTGCCTCAGATACTAGTTTAGCTGTATGATCCTGAGGAAGTCACTTTAACCTTTGTTTGCCTCAATTTCCTCATCTGTAAAATGGGGATAACAATGCCTCAAATTGTTGTGAGGATCAAATTAGATAATATGAGTAAAAGTACTTTTGCAAACCCAAAGTGCTAAGTAAATGCTATCATCATCATCATCATCATTATTATTACCAAGACTTTATTACTATCTCCCAAGACTATAAAGTGCTTTAAGGTTTTATGGTCTTACCTGAAGAAAAGAAGGGGATGGCTGGACACTCTCAGTAGTTGTTGTCTGCAACTGATTTTGTGTCGGACTGATTTCGATGCCTTCAGATGGCACTTTGAAAAGCATTAAGAAAGAGAAAAAAAAGAAATAACTCTCTTAAATCAACATTTCTGCCTCAAAATAAATCCACTAAATCCACTTAAAAGGAAATGACTGAACTCTGATTTGGGGGTACTAATGCTAAGGAGGTAAAAGGGTTGATTTTTAATGGTTGCTTTAGAAAGAGAAATATGGATTCCTATGCTTTTGTTTTGGTTGGACAGAAAAACTCATGCACGAAGTTATAGTTATGCAATAAATGTAAAATTTTAATTTGCTCAAGGTATATAGTGGGAAAGGAAGCATGTGGAACTTTTCAACTGCTAAGGTGTTTTCTGCTTCAGTATAGAGATCTAAGAATCTGATCATTGCAAAGAGCAAAATTAAGCTTACAAAGAATAAAGTGGGTTGCAAGAAGAATTAAGCATTTTCCTGATGGGAAAGAATGGATTTTTCTAGCTCTAACCACTTGACTTGTCCATTCTCCATAGGCAATACATTTGCATGTCATGGCATCACCTCATCCTTAATGTGACTGTGTTGGAATGCAGTTCCTTCTTACCTCTTAGAATCCTTTGCATTCTTCAGAACACAACTCATATGCTACCTTTTACTTAAGGCCAATCTAATTCCTGCCCTCCCAATCCCCCTCCCCCCATCCCCCATCTCCAAGTGTACCCTCCCTCTAGAATTCACTGGATAATTTTGTATTTCCTTTATGTATCCTATTCTTTCAATAGATGTAAGATTCTTGAGGGCAGGGGCTATTTCTTTCTTATCTTTCTATACCTAGATCCTTGTCTATGGTTTCGCTGAATACATTTTTGTTGAATTGAACTATTGCTTCTTGTTGTTAAAGAAGAGGTGGATAAAGTGCTAAGCAATAAATGAATCATTACCCACATATACTATAGAGATCCAGAGACTTGAGCTTGCTGTGTTAGAGGACAATGCTGAATGATCTGTCTACTTACACCAACACACAATAGCAAGCGTGGTTGATCAGATGGGCTGGAAGAGTGGGATGGTGGATAATGAGCCACCAATGGCAGTCATGGCTAATTGTCCTTCATTCTCAAAGAGGACCATGACATCAGGGAGGTGATACCATGAATTGCAAGTGAATTGGATTTAAGTGAGGGAGGGCTGTGCAAAGTCACCAGCCTCACTCTCTTCTCTGGAGTCATCTGAGTCCGGTGGCCAGATACTGGTTGAGGCAAGCATAAAGCCTGGGGCAGCTGAACTCACTAACTCCTGCCCTTTGATCCTGTTTTGCTTATTTCTAAGTCATTGGACCTGTTACTTTGTACCTGGATTCCAAAGTAGTTTAAGCCTTTTCAGAAATTTGTTGCTGGGTAATCTGATTTTCTGTTGGCCTCTATTGAAAATCTTCAGTCTCACACCTTAGGCTATCAACTGATATCCAGCACCTTTTCTTAGGGCTCTTATCTGGCTATCTGATGGTGTTATTGACCGACTCTCTTTAAACATCTCTGGGCAGACCATGACACAGAATATGTAGGCAGGTTCAGTGCCAGGTTGGCCACACTCTAGGAACAGGATAGTTGGGATAGATCAGGAGGAACCTACATTTTTTCCCCCTACAGACTATGATTAGGTGTGTGTTTTGGAAGCTGGGGAGATACTTAGGGAAACGCAAACATGGCCAATACAATTCCAGTTTGGGACCCAAAGAGCCAGCAAGGCATATTAGAAGAAGCACAAGATAGGGTCAAAGGGCTCAGTGCTATGTTCTTATCTTTTATTAGTTATAGTTTTACAGTGGGGGAGGAAATCATCTCAGGGAAGGCTCAACAGGTCCTTTGAAACTGATCTCCCTGGCTTCCCTTAAGTCTCAACTAAAATCCCATTTTTACTGGAAATCTCAACTTTTCTTAATTCTAGTTCCTTCCCTCTGTTAATTATTTTCTACTTGCCCTGAATAGTTGGTTTTGTACATGTTTGTGTGCATGTTGTCTCTCCCGTTAGATTGTAAACTCCTTGAGGGCAGGGACTGTCTTTTGCTTCTTTTTGTATCCACAGCACTTAGCCCAGTACCCGGCACAGAGTAGGTTTATTGGTTGATTACAGGAGAATCCTGGTTGGTTACACAGAGCATGCACAGTATTTGTTGTTTGGTTTCAGTCTACCATCTGGAACTTTTAGGAGCCAGTTACCAGACCATTCTATATGAGCAGAATGGTGACTGGCTACCTTCTTACATTAATGCAACTACTGCTGTCTCTGTAAACACCCTGGCTTGATGCAGCTTAGGGAATGGTGAGGTACACCAGAGTACTTACTCAGTGGAAGGGTGAGTTTTAACCCCTACTTTCCTGCCAGCTGTGGCATCTTATACTTTCTGTGTTAAACAGTATCCCCTTCCTAAACTCCCCATTCTACTCGATGCCCCACCCCCAGTTCAGTTGGAACATAGTAAGCATTTAATAAGCTTGTTGTTAATTGACTCTTCTGACTATTGAATATCGTCAGTCCATGTGCTGATCCTGCCAGCTGGGTTATTCCTTTTCTAATCTATTAGGATCACTATTAAATATTCTCTTTTGCCTGTAGTTCAAATTATCTTAGACTTCATTCTTATATTACAAACCTCCTTGGACATCAAGAGGTCAGTCAGTCAATAAACATTTGTTAAGCACCTGCTCTGTGCTGTACAGTGCTAAATGTTCAATATCATTGTTGCCATGAAAAATCCAGGTATAGATTAATTTCATATAGGAGACATGGAAAACTGGGTGAATCCTCTAGGCTTTAGGGAGTCCCATTTCATAGGGGAAGTAATGGACAGAGAATGCTAAATGGTTATACAGAAATAGTTATATGTACATCATTCAGGGCTCAGGAAGTCCTCCATACTGGTATGACCTAGCTCTAGACAGTCTTAGCCTTGGGGCTCCAAAAAGTGGGGCTTTCACTCTGTTATTTAAAACATTATAAATTTAGAGCTAAGCCACTGAATCTAACCCCCTCCTTTTACAGATGAAAAAACTGAGGTGGTAAGAAGTTAAGTGACTTGCCCAGGGTCACACAGCTAGTAAGTATCTAAGAAAGGATTTGAACTTAGTGCAGTGGCCTATCCAACACAGTGTTGTTAAACTGGGCAGCATATTGACTAAGAGAACTACAAATTGACATTATTTATGTCATATTGTATTTTTATTTATTTTGTTAAATATTTCCCAATTATATTTTAATCTGGTTCAAGCCCCACTGGGGAGTTTTGCCTGCCCTGTCCTTGAAATTATAATAGAGCTTTCTTGGTTCTCTTAGATGACCTCCCACAAGGCTCATTTTTCCAGCCATTAAACACTTAAATCCTTTTGTAGGGCAGTAAGTTACTGGGGGGCCTTCAATGAGTTGGGCTGCCATAGTGTGTGTAAGCAACTTATTGATCTCATTCTTCCTGGAAACTGTGGTAGTTGGAAATATTCTCCCCAAGTACCTCTTAAAGAAGTGAATTATGCCTAGGGGTCAGGGCTAAAGGTACCTCCCCGAATGCCTAGTGGGGTAGTTTCTGGGGTAGATGCATCAAATGGAACCCTGTGCCCCCACGATGGGGTTGTGCTGCCATTGTAATGGTGGCACAAATACTCCCCCCCCCCATTGCCATGTCAACTATTACCCAAACTATCTACTTTGTATGACCTTTTCTAACTTCTGGGTTAGTGGACTGGTCGTCTCTAGAAAAAAATGATTCCCTCTCAGAGGTCAGCCTTCTACTGTAAGCAACAGTTTTAGAATGGTCTTTTGTTAGTTTATTTTCTACCATCTAGCTTAGAGCTAGGATGTAGTTTATTAAAGCCTTTGGATTGATTAAATCCTAAGCTTATCCTATGTATATTGGTACTGGACCAACATATTTTGTTTACTTGCTTCCATTCATTGATGTAATCAATCAATGACTGTCTCCTCTTCTACTATAGCTCAGTGGTAGCTGCATTCACTTTCTGTGGTTGCATGCCCAAATTACTAAAACTTCAGAATTGAAGTGCCAATAATCCCTTCCCCCAACCATTGCCAGAGGACTCCCTTCTGATATTATAGGATCTATCTATCTGAAGGCTTGCTTGTAATAATTACCACGAATAGTTGCCCCCTTGTGTATGAGTGGTACAATTTTTTTCTTTTTAAACATCTTATTGATTTCTTCTTCTTCTTCTCTTCTTCTTCTTCTTCTTCTTCTTCTTCTCCTTCTCCTCTCTTCTTCCTTCTATTTCTCCTCCTCTTCCTTCTCTCTTCTTCCTTCTATTTCTCTTCCTTTTCCTTCTCCTCCTCTTCTTCCTTCTCATTCTCCTCCACTTTCCTACTTCTCTCCTTCCTTCTCTTCCTCCTCCTCTTCCTCTTGCTCTTCCTCCTATTCTTCCTTCTCTTTTCTTTCTCCTCCTCCTTCTTTTCCTCCTCTCCCTACTCCTTTTTCATCTCCTTCTTTTCCTTTTCCTCCTCCTCTTCCTGCTTCTATTGCTGTCACTTTCCAAAGATGCCCTCCCCACCTTGTAACAAATAGTACAGTCAAACAAAATACACTGATCCATTGGCCATGTTGGAGGCAGCTGTGTAGTGCAGTAGATACAGCTCCAGGCCCAGTTCAAATTCGGCCCTCAGCACTTACTAGCTATATGACTTTGGGCAAGTCACTTAACCATTGTTTGCCTCAGTTTCCTCATTTGTAGAATGGGGATAATAATAGCACTTGTCTCCCAGGGTTGTTGTGAGGATCAAATAAGATAATTATTATAAAGCATTTAGTACAATGCCTGGTATGTGGTGGGCACTATATAATTGCTAGCTATCATCATTATCATTATATGTCTGAAAATGTTTGCCTCCTTCTTCATCTGTTGCTTCCTGGGAAGCATGCTTCACCTGAAATCTTTGCAAACTGCATTTGGTCATTGTATTGATCCAAGTACTGAAGGCTTCCCTCCATTGTTGTTTTCTACTACTTTATTGTGGTTGCCATGGAAATTGTTCTTCTGGTTCTGCTTATTTTTCTGCATCAGTTACTATAAGGCTTTCCAAGTTTCTCTTAATTTTTCATGTTTATTATTTCTGATAGCATAGTAATATTCCCTTGCATTCATTTACCACAATTTGTTTAGCCATTCCCTCCTAGATGGGTACCTGCTTTGCTACCACAAAAATTGCTGCTATAACTATTTCTGAGAACGTTCCTTCTATCTTCGAACTCCTTAGGGTACATGTCTAATAGGAGCACTAAGTCAAAGGATATTTACAGCTTACTGAATTGTTTTTCATATAATTTCTAATTGTTTTCAAGAATGGTTGGATCAATTAATAGTTCCACCAATGGTATTAGGTTTCAGAGGTTAATTTTCACTGGCCCACAAATGCCATTGTCTACTTAAGAACACAATTGGTGAGACTATAGTGGACTTTGGCAGGAATGATACTGTTGAAACTGGTGGAAGGAGTGGAATTATCACAATGACTTTGGTGGGCTTCTCCCAAATCACCATCCTCACCATTACCCTATGAAACTCCATAAATACCTCCTGAATTTTAGCTCAGCCCATGCTAATCCTTTTTAGGTAGATGGTGGGGGAAAAGGGCCTACCTCCATTATGCTGGTATATTTCTCCCATGCTTAGCTGCCATTAGGCACTTTAAGCACTATACTTAGAGCCAAGAAGACCTGGGTTCAAATCCTATCTCAGAGACTTACTAACTGTATGACCCCCAAATAAGTCACTTAAATGTTCTTTGCTTCAGTTTTCTTATGTGTGAAATGAGAGAGTTGGGCTTACTGGTCTCTATGGTATGATTTAGTTCTCAATCTATGATCCTATGAGTTATCGAAGACAGGACTTAAGTAACACATTGCCTGCTGAATCTGAAGACCTAGGGTTATCATAATCTTCTCCTATGGCAGTTGGTTGGTTCATTGGCACCTATGTCAGTAGCATATCATGGGCAACCAAGACACATGACAGGGGAAGAGTGTGATGGTACACCACTCATAAACCCAAATGTCAGGGCCATAGCAGAGCACCTGATAACACACACCTTATGCTGGCTTTCCATTGGTGATTGGCTTTGAATTTCACATGAGTTCTTAGAACCTATATCATTCTTTCTTGAGTTATCATCGGGAGTCATGAACAATGAACAGTTTTAAAAGGGAGGGCCTTTGGAATGTGAGGAATCATACCCCCAGTATCTACAAGTACCATAGTTCACTCCAAGGAGAGCCCTACTTGCTTTCTTCTCCTTTTCCTTTTGAAATTAACCATTCTGGTTTCTCCTTACCTGCTCTGGCCAAATGTAGCTCTGATCATGGCTGGAGGTGCCGTAGTACCTAGCAGGCCAACTGGCCCTATTTGCTCTCTTCTTATCAGCTGTGATGCCTTATTCGCTGTGCTAACATGTGCTACTTTGGACAGGTCACTGAGCTCTCTCTGGGTTTCAGTTTTAAATTAAAGGGTTGGAGGAGCTCCAAAGTCTTTTCTAGATTGAAATTCTATGATTATGTGAAGAATCCAGAACGATCATATCTAAGACCAGAAGGGCTGTTAGAGCCGCAATAGATGAAGAAGGAGGGCCAGTCCAGCCCCTTCATTTTACAAATAAGGAATCCAAGACCCAAAGACTTACTCAAGTTTACATGGTACTTCAGGAGCAGAGCTGGGATTCAATCTTAGGTCCTGTGACTTCAAGTTCAAATACTCTTTCCTTTGCGCTACACTGAAATCTTAAATATCAGAATTTTATTTTTGAAGGCCAAAATACTATCTAAACCATCTAAATGGTTCCTGTCCCTAAAACTGACAATTATTAGGTAGAAATATGGCAATCCCAAGGCAGGAGAGATGGGTCTCATGTTAGTGTCTGTGTTTACATTTGCCTACAAAGTTCATTTGTGGTTGTTAAATCATTTTTAATCATGTCCAACTCTTTGTGATCCCATTTGGGGTTTTCTTGACAAAGATACTGAAGTGGCTTGCCATTTTCCTTTCCAGCTCATTTTACAGATGAGGAAACTGAGGTAAACAGGGTTTAAGTGACTTGTCCAGGGTCATAGAACTAGTAAGTATCTGAGGCTAGATTTGAACTCAGAAAGATGAGTCTTCCTGACTCCATGTGGACGCCTGCCTAGGGCCACTGAGCACCCGCAGAACATCTCTTCTTGGGAGTCCCTGCTTTAGTGGCCCTTTTGGACTCAGTAAACTAACTTGAGAGAAAACAAAAAGCCCTAGTCCTCTATCCATTGTGCCACCTGGCTGCTTATTTGTGAGCAATTGTGGTACCTTGAGTCTAAATGGGAATTTATCTCCTGGAAATCTATCCTCTGAGAAATCTTACTGATGTCCATCAGCTGTGATTCCTCAGCCTCCATAGGTCCCCTCTCTTCTAACTTCTCATTTTCATGGCTCTTAATGATAGCTCAAGAGAGGATGAAACTGGCATCGGACTCTGAACCCCAAGGGAGATGACCAAGGGAGAGCCAGCATGAGGCAAATCCAGACACCTCCAGGACTAGAAGGTCAATGCCATCATTCACTTTATACTATGTCATTAAAAAGAGATCTGAAACCATCCTGCCTCTGCTGGGTGCAAATCGAATCCTACCCACTCTGCTTCTGACTTTGCACTGGTTTTTCATGCTCTGGGGAGGGTGAAGAAGGTGAGGGACACCACTGGGAGAAGTGGCCGTTATAGAAAATTGTGACCCCAGGGAAATCAGGAAGCTCTAGTTCCTACTCTTTCCTCCTGTATCACCATGATCCCTCAGGGCTTTAGGAGAGCCTGTGAGAGCCCCCAAAGTCAGTCATGCTGCTGCCAATCACTGTACCCCTGTGCTGCCCTAGAGGCAACTTTATCTCTTCAGAATATCAATATACATTAGTTCCTTTTGCTCTCATTTTTGCCATTAATAAAATTCTTAGTGAGTGTCTTGGCTTGACCTCTTAGAAGAGGATTTTGTTTGGAGGCAGGTGGACATCTGGTGTTCCTCTTGTTTACCTTAGGGTAAGCAGAAGGCATTTTCAGTCTTTCATTTCTCTTTTTTTAATGACAGCACATAAGAGGTGCTAAGTCAAATCTGTTCAGATATTTGCATATTACATATCTGTGGCTCTGTTCATGAGGACATCCACCTGTACATATATGTACCCAATGGATGCACCCGCAACATGACAAAAACAATTAGTATTTGGAAATGTTTTTTTCCCCCTTTAAACAGTCTGTGCTCACAAAAAATTTTACACAAAAATTGCCAGTCAGCAGCTTTATAAAGGAAAAAAACAGGAACCCCCACCCCAATAAACCTCAGTGGGCTCAAAAGATACCATGGGAATAAAATAAAAAATTTTAGGAACTCCTCACTGGGGCATAGCCACAAAGAAAGAGAAATTGTGGAAGGATGTCTTATGGTTTGGGAAGACCCAGGAATAGATAGTTATTCCAAGACCATACTTTTCTTCAGAGGTAGGTAGAAGGTAGCTGCCTTCCCTTCTCCTCCTGTTAAGATTGGCAGTGGATTCTGGCTGTAGCACTAATTATCTCAGCAAATTTCTAACACCTGTGATTACCTTAATTGAATAGGATTGTACTGAATAATACATATTTATTCAGAAAATAGGTAGGAGTTTGGTGAAGAAAGAAGATGAAGTTGGCAGTTCTAAATACTGAACAGCAGTTTTCAGAACTATAGAATTCAACCTAATAATTAACCTATTAATGTCAATGGGAACTGTCTAAATGTCAAACCAGGTAAAATAAATAAGTCATAATGCACTTAGAATTAGGTACATAATCTGGAATTAAAAGTTTGACTCCTAATTAACTTTCCAGTTTTGGATTTCTGTCAACTTTTGCTTCTATTCAGTGAGATAATAGGCTTAGAGACACATGCACTGTTAAAGTCACTGTCCATGAACTGAGATGGCCTGAATTGTGGAGGTATATAAACTAGCTTTATTAAAATAGAACACAGAAGCACATCGGTCCTACCCTTCTCAACCTGGCTCTTTCATTTGGATGTTTTCCTAGTGGTTCATAGAATCAGAGAAGCTCAGAACTTCCCTTCCCTTCCCTTCCCTTCCCTTCCCTTCCCTTCCCTTCCCTTCCCTTCCCTTCCCTTCCCTTCCCTTCCCTTCCCTTCCCTTCCCTTCCCTTCCCTTCCCTTCCCCTTCTTCTCCTTTAATTTAGGTCACCTTAATACTAACTGTTCCTGTAGTGATTAAAATCCCCAGAGTCAGAACTAACTAATCTTATCAGATCAAAAACACTGTAGCTGCCTTTCTGGGAGATGGGAATGCCTTTGGCCTTACACCTCTCTCCACTGCTGATCAAGACTTATATCTCTGGTCTTGAAAGAATTCTATGGCTTAAGTTCTGGGAGTATGGGTCAGGAGTGGCCACAGTTTGTCTTGTGCCAGGCTGGTGATGCATGCTGGCCCTATCCAAAACAGGAGACTCCAGGCCATTTTCAGCACTTGTTTTTTCCTAGGATCATAGATTTAATCTGAGGGCTGGAAAGGATTTTAGAGATTATAGGATTCTAGATGTAGACCTCAGAGGTCATCTAGTCTAATTCCCTTAATTTATAAGAAGTGGCTTGTCCAAGGTAGGAAATGGCAGAAATGGGATTTGGATTCAAGTCTTCTACCTCCAAATCCAGCACTTCTGCCACTGTACCCTTACTGCCTCCTGCCAAGGTGGGGAGGTGATGAATAAACTGTTATCCTTCTGTGCCTTCACAAATGTCCTAGCATTTTAGGGAGCGCTAATGTTCCAACCTGTCATGTCATACTCTTTCTCTTACGTTTTTCATAACTGATGGTCACTGATTCAATGCCATCTATCCGAGGACTTTCTGAAAAACAAAGAAGAAAAGACAGTATGTAGGGTAAAACTGAATTACTGGGAGATAGGGGAGGGGAAGGGTGTGGGGTCAGGAATGAATTAAATCTTAAACTAGAGAAGGATCAGAAGATATCTTTCATCCCAAGAAGTCTGATTTTGTTTCAGAGTCCAGAGACAACTCAGTTGTCAAGGGAGTCTGGAGAGGCAGCATATTAGAACTGAAACGCTGAGACTCAAAGTCAAGAGTCCTGGGTTTTTACTCCTGGCTCAGACACTCACTAGCCAAATGATCTTGGAGAAAATTATTCATCCTTGTCCCTCATCTGTAAAGCGGAGACATAAAGATTTGTACTACTCACCTCACAGAGTTACTTCGAGGACAGCATTTTAGAAACCTTAAGACACTGTATAAATGGGAGTTATTATTATTATCATTAATATTACTCTGAACACATGGCTGCCAAACTGGGAGGATTTCTACTGGGCAAGGCCGGAGTGTAGAGCCAACCCTGCCAGCATTCTAAGTGGTACCTGGGTAAAAAGATGCTTTTTTCTGGGTACACTCTCCAGTGCTGGACATTCTGTCTCTCATTCCCCCTGACTCAATCAGAGCCCCTCTTTCATTGACCAAGTAGTATACTTGCTTGGGAATAGATCTAATTGTCAGATCTCTGTAGTAACATCCATAGTAACAAGGGCTAATGATTTATAGTAGGGTGGTGGTAGCAGGAATAGAGAAGAGGGGACAGATGTGACAAAATATTGTTGATCTTGCATAAGTCAGTGTCCAAAACATCTCTACTGTGGCCATGCACACAAACACTCCTATAATAAAGATCTTTTGCAAGGATACTGTAACCTAAACTAGATACTCTGTAAATTGAGGCTGCTGGATCATTTTTATTATTATTATTTTTAATTTATGGAATAAAGCAAACATTTCCATAACATAGATCTTAAAAAGTTTTTTTAAAAAAGGATTCTCAGAAACAGACCCTGACTCTCCAATTTTAAATTGATGTGGATGAGCAGGGCAAAAATCCATGATTTCAGAAGACACAGGAGCAGAATTAAATTTCATTCTAAGTCCCCTCCCCTTCCCCCCTTTTCACACCCCACTGCCTATTCCTATCTTCTCTCTCTTCTCCCAAGTCCTTTTAAACTCAGCCCTGGAATTTTCCAGGTTATTGCCCAAGAGAGATGACTTTCAAAATCCTCCTTATGAATATTTAGATGAATTGCTTTGATTTTTCCTGAGGTTAAAGCTATGGTGCCTACTGACTTTAATATAGCCCTAGATTGTGGGGCACAATCTAAGCTGCAGAGATGGGCAAAAGGCACAAATGAGCTAGTTTACCCCACAGCTGCCCCCTTCTTCTCTCCCATCCCTCCCATCCCATGCTGCTTGCTCCCCTGGATTCTTGGCTTGGTGAATTCCTGTTTATTTCCTTTTCCTCTTTCTGGAGCCCTTGTTAATTTCATCATATTGGCAAAGTTTAGCAGGTGGAGGGGGGGCATGTGTGGAAGAAAATCTAATTTACTGCTGCTGTGACTACAGTTATGAAATAAAGCTCTGATTTCATGATGGATCGATAACACTAAGGTTGGATTTAAATTATTAATAATGGTGAGAAATGTGGCTCAGCACTATGTGAATCACCCCACTCCTAAAGTTCTGGGCCTTTGGGTTGTAATTGTGTAGAGGATTAAGACACTCAAAACAATTTTGCTGGAATGCTTTTTCCAGGTGTATCTCGGCTTTGTATACCCAAAGGAAAGTGCACCAGGCAAATGCTGTTGGCTGGTTAAGTGGTGGAGTGGAGGAAGTCTGGGCTGGGAGGGCTGAACCCTCAAAGTCCTGTCCCTGCTCTGGCCACAAACTCTGAATAAGACCTTGGGGGAGGAGGAAGGGGAGATTTTGGGCAAGTGGCTTTACCTTTCTGTAACTCAGTTTCCTTAATTGTGAAGTGAGGGGATTGGGCTAGGTGACTGCCACTGTTTTGAATTCTAGGCTCAGCTGGGAGTGGGGGAGGGCTTGTTTTCACTGTATACTTTCTTATTAATTGATTGTGTTACTCCTATAGCTCCAAGATTCTTGTTGTAACCAATGCTTGTGAGGAAAATAGTCCCTGGAGCCAAGCGGAAGGGGAACAAGCCAACCTACAGAAGTGAAGTGAAGAAAACCTGAGTTTGGGGAGGGATTACAATAGAATGTAAACTTGCTGAGTAGGGATTTTCCTTTTTTTTTTTTTGTCTTGCTGTTCCCAATAGGCCCTTACTTAATAAATATTTGTTGAATTGAAATGAATTACAGGGAAGGAGAAATAAAAAGGAGGAAAAATTGGTCATTTGTTCTCCTGTTATCCTTTTCCTTGAATCTTAGAGAACAAAGGAGGTGGGTAGAAGGGTTGGCAGGGGAGGGTCAAGGAAAGATCCCCTGGGAAAACCTAACCTTCTACCCAAAGAGGTAGCTAGGGAATACAGTGAATAAAGTACTGGACTTGGTTAAAGTAAAACCTAGGTTCAAATCCTGCCCAAGGCACTTGCTAGCTATATAACCAAAGATAAGTCATTTAGCCTCTTCTCAGCCCCAGTTTCCTCATCTGTAAAATGGGGACAATTATAGCACCTTCTTCCCTAGGTTGTTGTGAGGATCAAATGAGGGTAACATATGTATAGCACTTTAAAGCCTATATAAATTCAAACTATTATTATTACCCAATCAACTCAGCACCTATTATGTGTCAGGCCAGGGATGCAATGAGAAAAATTAAATAGCCCTCCCTTCAGGTAGCTTACCGTCTATCATAGATGGCTACTTAGAAACTCTGGCTCTCTAATGAAAGGATTCCCCCCAAAAGCAATGTTAGTGTGAATCATGGGTTTGGGTTATTCTGCTGACAACCAGTGTAGGACTTTTTTTTTTGTTGTTGTTGTGGAAACTCTTCCTACTGATGAAAATTGGAGAATTCAATAATTTACAGTCTTTAGATTGTTGTCTGAGGCACTGAGATTAGCCAGTTTTCCTTACCACACAGTAGGTCCTCTGTTACCACAACCCACCTTTCCTCAATCACGTTTAGTGTATCACAGTATTTTGACACAGGTACAGGCTTAAAATAGCCATTGATCTTTACTACCATCACATACAACTCCTCAATTTTCTAGCTCATAACAGAAACAAATCCCAATTCTCTGTATGGCTCACGATGCCCAGCAGTTCTGCTTACCATCATCAATCGTCCATTTGGTCTGGGTTGAATGGTGAACAGACACAGACTTTTCGATCTCTAATAGCCTGGATTCAAGTTGCTTAGCAGGAACAGGTATTGAAACTGGGGTATAAATAGAAGATCCGGAAGAATCCTCAGTATAAAAAGAAGTGGAGGGAAATGACACCCTGTGGAGAGATGGAACCAGATACAGGCATCTTAGTATTGGTAGGTAAGAAGGCCACAGAAATTCTTAACATCTTGTTAGCCTTGCAAGGAGCACTCTTACAGAAAGGGGATGATGAATTGGCCCCTCTTCTGTGGGAGAGAGGTGGAGAGGGAGAAGTAGAAAGAAAGGCAGCTAGGTATCACATCCCAGAGCTTGGAATCAGGAGGACCCACATTCAAATACTGCCTTAGGTATGCACTAGCTGGGTGACCCTGAGTTGAATTTCTTTGTGCCTTAGTTTCTTCATCTGCAAAATATGGATAACGATGGCACCTTCCCCATCATAGGGTTGTCTTGAGGCTCAGATGAGGTCATACATAATACATGCGTGCATACATGTATGTATATGTGCTGAGAGGATTGAATTAAATAAAATTTGTAAAGTATTTCCATAGTGCCTGGAGCATAATAAATACCATATAAATGTTAGCTATTATTATTATTATTATAACATCCCTTCACAAACCTTAAAGCTCTCTATAAATGCTAGTTATTTTTATTAAGTGTGATGAAATGGGGGAGTAGCCCTACCCTTGGAATCATCATGTGAGAAGCAAAGTGACTGCATGACTAGAGATTGGCTTCCTTGATACTGCTTACTGCTTTATCTCTGTCTCTAGCTTCCCGGCCCATGGATGTGGGGTAAGGAACACCTTAAGTCTCTTCTCCTGCTGTGCTGAACTTTATTAGATTGTAAGTTCTTTGAGGGCAGGAACTGTTCTTTTGCCTCTTTTTGTATCCCTAGAACTTAGTACAGTCCTTGGCACACAAGAAGTTAATATATGTTTATTGACTGGCTGAACCTAACCAATACCGCCCCACTCTCCACCCCCCAATCTGCTTTTGGGACCTTTCCGTATTACTTGGCTATTGGAGACATGAACTGATGGCTTTTTCCTTTTTCTCCTCAGCAGACCAGAATGAAAAGAGGGTTACACATTCCCTCCAGTGAAACATTTCTAACCCCTAAAAAATTTACCGAGTATTCTTGAGCATCTGTGAATCTCGAGGCCACATGTGCCCCTCTAGTTCCTTACGTGTGGCCCTTCGACTGAATCCAAACTTCACAGAGTTCTAGGGTATTGTGAAGACTAAATGAGATAATATTTGTAAAGTACTTACACAGTACTTAGTAATTGCTTTTATTCCTTTCCTTTTGGTCTACCTAGTACAATACAATACAAGTGTATATGTGGCATTTGCACTAGAATTGCATGTAGTTAGTATTAGCATGTACTTAATATATGCATGTAATAAAACATGTGACAGCATTGCATATATTAAACTAAGGGCACAAATCTCATTCAGTACAAACACAAAGCATCATATAACATTGAATGTGATGGCTAAGTGCATAGATCACATGTAGAAATGTAGGAAATGCAAGGTAGCAATAGTAAATTGCATGACATGATACACTACTTTAAATAGCAAAGATGCATAGTACAACTACAAAAGCATGTTGCAGAATAATAATATGTGCCATGCATGACACCTGGTAGGCGTCACTGGAGTTACAAAGCACACATTACAGGCAATCCAGTAATGGGTGTCATTTGTCTACTTGAGTAATTACTTCTCACATTTCTCCTAAAGCTAGGTTGCCTGGCACTTCGACCATAACCTTTTGAGTTTGTCAAAGACTTAGGCTAACTCTTGGAATCACATACTATTGACCTGCAGGGCCAATTCTGAGCTGGTGGATAACCCAGGCTGACTGCCACTGTCTCTAACCTTGGTGGAAGCAGTCTCTCCCCTAGGCATCTCCATGGCTAAAGTATTCTACACAATGGGAATATTGAACTGGAAAGAGGTTGTTTTCTGGGTTCAACCCATCCCCTTTCTGTCTGTTGTCTTCCTTTGGTCTAAGACAGACTGTTGATTTTTTTTTTAATCCTTCAGTAAGAACCACCACTCAGTTCTCTCTCAGCAGAATCAGTTATCTAGCTCAGATAGCCACCTGGTAACTTTCTAGTTGTCTTATGTCTCCAAAGTCCTCTCGGCTTGTTCTCCATTTTTCCTTTCCTACTGCTCAAAAGAGAATATGGCTAATTCCCCAACAGGCAGTAGGTCACTCTGATCACTTTTGGCAGCTACTTTTTAAACAGGTAAGATTGGGTTTCCTATCTTTCAGCTTCTCAGTAGAGGATAGCTTTCATCAGTCTGTCGTCTTCTATGTTTTCTTCATGCCATGATTTCTTCTCGCTTTGCTGACTATGCATTTGACATTGAATCGAAGCATTATAGTAATTGTTGCAATCCGAGTGAATTGTTATTTCTATCAGAGCTCTCAGGGGTCACAGCTAGGCCCTAGGCCTCCTTCAACCAATCTCTCATCTTACAGAAATATTGGTAGGGAGTCTCCAAATCTACATCTTCTGAGACTCTATAGCACAAGTTAGTGAGCAAACATGGCTCTCACAGATATATAAAGACTGTGGCATCATCCCTAGGAGAGTTGTACATATATCTTGGAAATGCCACTTGTTAACTCTACTGAGTGTTCTGCTCAGGCCTCATGATGCTCAGTATGCTTAGGATAGCATGGTTCAAATATCTAGGCCACGGGTGGGGAATCTGCAGCCTTGACGCCATGTGTGCCTTCTAGGTCTTTGGGTGTAGCCTTTTGATGGAGTCCAAGTTTTACAGAACAAATCCTCTTATTAAGGGGATTTATTCTGTGAAGTTTGGATTCAGTGAAAGGGCTGTACTTGAGGACCTAGAGGGCCACATGTGGCCTTGATGCCACAGGTTTCTCAATCTCTGGTCTAGCTAGGCTATGGGTCTCCTTAAGGGTGGTTAAGATGTGCTTTTAGATTTCTTGATTCAGTCCATCAACCAGCAAGTCAATAAACATTTATTAAGTGCTTACTATGTTCACTGATTCCTGCCAAAGCCCACATCTCCTTAAGTAATTCACCTTCAAACTCTTTACCTCGATCAAAATGGATCCTGTCAAGGTTGTCATATGTGATTGAGCAAAATACTTCTGCCATAATAGTCCAGCAACTGTAGATTCTTTCTGATTCTTGGCTGGACATATTTTTGCATTCCAGGAGAAAGATTGTGTTGCCATAAGGATGTGGCTAATATGTTTCTTCTCCTTCCAGAGATAGACCCACAAGAGAGATAAACCCACAATCTCCAAAAACTTGCTGGTACCTATGCTCTCCAAATATGCAGTGTGAATTGGTAGAACTTAACTTTTGAACACTTCAGCCACAAGCATTATACTTCTTCTGGAGCTCTGCTGCTATTTGGGCCTAATCCAATCTGTGTCTTCTCTTGACCAAAGGGTCCAAAGTTGTCTTGGGATGCCTTTGTGGTGAAAAATCAAAATTCCATGAGTAGCACCAACTGCTTCTTTGTTCCATCTGTGTGATGATGTACAGTCCAGTACAGTATTCCCATGAACACCTCAACCTTTGTTTCTATGGTAAGCTGCTTCTAGGGAGTGATTCTAAGTATCTGAGGATTATTCTCTCAGGCCTTCTTTCCTGTCACTGGTCCCAACACTTTTATCATGCAGTCACTTCCATTGTCAGTCATCCAAAGATAACTCAGGCAAAGAGGGTTGGTTCGTTGCAACAAAATTCATAATTGCAGGTGGCATACTCTCTAGTGGAAGTCTCATTTTCACATAAAATGATTCATTTTCTTGAATGTTGTGCAATCTTTTCACTTCTTTCATTGCTTTGGGCTCACCTAGCCTATTGGATAGGTCGGACTTGTGGAATTATGATTTTTATATTAATCAAAATGATATGTGTAATGAATATACTAATAATTTAGTTCTCTCAAGAGCTGCCTCTCTGGCTCAGGAGTCAGAGCTCACAATGCAGCTTGAACTGGTCAATCAAACTTTGACAATGCTTACAATCACTGGACATTAAGGGAAGGAAATCAAAGATTATAAAACCTGTCCCCATCACAGAACTCTGGTTCTGTACCCTAGGGGAGGGAGGTGGTCAAGACTCCCAAAGACGTGACTCCAGAATTGTATTGTGGGATTTGTGGGTTTCTCGAGGGAAACCACTAAACAATTGTTTGTAATCCAACTGCCCCACTCCTGCCTTACTTGTGATTTAAATATATAACCTGTGGTTTTACTTCAGCTAAAAGAACATTCCTCACTCTGAATCTGATTAAACTACTTGATTACTGGCACTCCCTCTCTAAACCTTGCTTTGTGCTGCTCAGAGCATTTTCAGATTAGAGACTGGTTCCATAAAAATCCCGTTAACAGCCTCATCCACAATTGTCTCCCCTGGCTTATACTGGACACATAGCTAATGAACACTATTACCCACGTCTGATGGGCAGCACCCCATTTGGTGCTGGTAAGAGGGAAAAGCATGAAATTGTTGTCAGTCCATGCTTGAAAGTGAGCTCCATTTACATTATCTCAGAACTTTTCAGTGGCAGTCTGAAACCAGGAATTCCAATTCATATGTGGGATAATCAATATTATTGTCAATAAGTCCTCTTCTGGCAAATGCAGCAGGTATTTGGTTTTCATCAGTCTCTTGCCACAAGACTGTTGCTAAGCCTCCTAGACGGATGTCAGTGGTGTGTGTGTGTGTGTGTGTGTGTGTGTGTGTGTGTATACACACCCTTTCTGCCCCACTTCCCATCATTTTGTGATGGCAGAACTAAGGTCCAGAAAGGTGGTAATTTGCCCAAGGTCATACAAGTAATAAATATCAGAGGGTGGATTTGAACTCAGTTTCTCCAACTCCAGAGCTGGTTAGTCTTTCCATCACACGAGAATAATCTTTCTTGCCCTTCTGCTTTCGGTTCTTCCCAAGCATATACCCACAAATGAGATAATGAATGGTTAAGTTATGATAGCACAATTCTTTACAAATGCTCAATAGTAACTACTGAATCTTAGCAAAATTTGTATTTTACCTTTTTTGGCTGCAACCAGCTGATAAGCACTTCTCTCTTCTCTAAATC